CAATACGTCTCTTGTACAGTATTTTTAAATCTGCTTTCTCAACCATTCTTGACTCTTGCTTTTCCAACCACACCCTAAGGGTGCGTCATTGGTAAACATATAGGCATCTAAAGTGGGCGAAGCTGCTGCGTTACATCCAAAAGAGGGCCGGCTTTATTCCAGAAAAACCATTGCGTCTAAACTCATCCGCAGTGGACTTCAGTCAGTCTTACCACTTACAGGGGAGAGTGGGAAGAGGTGAGCCTGGTGCTGTTCAATCCTCCTCCACAGTAACGTATCCGTCAGTGCGTGGAGCTATCGTGACGCCTTATAGGTAGCAACTAAGAGAGTTGCCATTTGGCGCAATAACTTGTTCCTTTGGAGTGACAACCCAGTTTTTTATGATTTTAGTGGTACTTCTCGTGATGTTAAATCGGAATTTATGCTGTCAGTTTCGTGTAAAGTGGAGCAGAAGCAAATGCATTCCACGCATAAACCAGGACTTCTGCTTCGTCCATACCCATTTTCAACCGTTCAACTTTGTCGCTGAACATTGATGTGTATGGAAACAATAAGGGAGGCGATACACATGTCTAGCCTGCTATAATCCAGTTCACGCGCAAGTAACCACTGCCCTCGAGGCCGTAGTATCCCTAGTCGATTTTGACGAAGGAACTGTCAGGCCTTTTAGTTGCGTCCCGGGGTTCTTTACCTTCTAGTTGTCTTAGATTGTGTACCGTAGCCGATTATACTTCCCTCGAGGGGTGTTAATCGCGAGGTTTGCTGTGAAATGGAAATCGACATTGACCGCAGCCACTTAATGAGGGTGGCACAGAACAGTGTCGACGCATACAAAGGGGGGGCACCTATGAACTGGGTTTCAGGGGGATACGGTGTGAGGCCATCACTAGTTATAGTGGTATTTTGCCTTGCAAGGTTTAAGTTGAGGACGAGGGTCATTTTTTCCTTGATAGCCAGTAGTCATGTTCACCCCTACTCTCTGGTGGTGCATGTCTGCATTCACCTCGTTAGTATCATTGTTTGGTCACCTTTCATCCCATTCTGGCAGAACAGCTCATACTCATATGGGGGGAAGTTTCGACTGCAAATTCCCCATTTCTCATTGCATACAAGCTGGCCCCTTTGTTACACATCATATGGCGACGAGAACAGGTCCCGCAAGGCTTCAAGTGCGCTGTAGATGTGCACCTCCAAAAAGGAGAAAATTGACAAGTACGCAACGTTTGTCTCCGGCCTCGATTTGCAATACTGAGGTGGGACGTTCACATTTAGTTTCAATCCCCTGACTGCCGCATGGTCTTCACTGCTTGGCATCTATAGCAAGAAACGCTTTCCCATAAGGATTGCCCTTTAAGCGTCCCGATTGTGAACCAGGAAACCCCACGGCGACCTATCAGTGCGCGACAATCACTCAGTCCGTCTCAAGCTCTTGAAAAAGTGAGTCAAATAATGCTGCGTGCTCGCCCTAAACATGAGCTTAATTCTCACGGCGCTGATGAGCATCGACTGAGTGGGACGAGATGGGGTCGGGGCTACTTATTGAGTCTGTTGGACGTCTGTTCCATGAGGACCGTCATGATTCTCCAAGGCCCTGGTGTTAACATGTCATTTTGCCGATGATTATGTACCCATCGCCGCGACGGGGCAGAGTATGATACCCTTTGCCCCCGAATGTGCTGGCTTCGAATTAATCGTCAGCTCAATGAAAGTGTTTCGCGCGCATCAACCAGCAGCAATCTCAGATTACATCGGACTTTGGTCTCTGTCGGCAACCATTCCCTTGTCGACGTGCTCTTATCTGAATAGCGCTTTACGTGTGAATACAAATCAAGGAACTGGTAGCCCAGATTGTCAATGTCCACCAGGCCTTCGGTGGGTTTCAGTGCTCTGTGGGGAATTACCGTGACGTCTATCAGTGCCAAATTTAAAGATGACGTGGCTGTGATTGCGCAAACAATTCTTTATAAGAAGAGTTTCATTACTGACAAAGACAAGAGAGACTGGAATGACCATTTCTAGCTTTTTAGCTGTCTTCAGCCAGTCATACCCAACCCCCAAAGTGTGGAACACCTGGGGCTCGAACTCGTAACCTGTTAGCTAGAGGTCCAACGCCTCTAACTACTGGGCCACGGGTTCCTTGTCCTGTCGGTTTTGATCGGGAATATAAAATGGTAGGGGGCGCTCACCGATCGTTTTTACGGAACGAGTGAGTTCCGTTGTGCCTTACGGGCTCTCTCTCAAGCCCAACCAGCAGCCGACAGGTCGC